AGGCAATATTATCGTTTATCGCAATAAATTTTGAGACAATTAATCGTCCAGCAAAATTTGTTATCGTGACAGGCCTACTGTTAGGTTAATTGATAACTCTAAATTGTCCCTAGGTGTGAGTGAGAGAGTGAATGGTTGTTTGTCTTGTTTGTCTCTACGTGTGGCCCTGTGATGGACTTGCAACCTGTCCAGGGTTGCAAGTCCCCGCCCCTCGCATTGTGACTGCTGGATATGGGCACCAGTGACCCACGCAACCCTGAAAAGGAAGAAGCGTGTACAGAAAATGGATGGATGGATGGATGGATATATAATAAATATGAATAATGTCCAGCTACATCTGAAAGGAAAGTGCCATACAGTTGGATAAGGGGAATTTTCAAATTTCCACTTCCTGTTTCTGTCAGGGAGTGTGTTTAGAGTTTGTTTGAGGAGATTCAAAAGGTTTTCCCATCAGATCCAGAAGATTTAAAAGAGAGAAACGGTTCATTTTAAAGTAGAGTTCTTAAGTCTTGTGGTCCTCGGTGCACTATGACCCAGGCAGTGGCCGGGAGTGCAGCAGATAGCAGCTGTTTGCTCATCCTGTGGGCTAAAGTCCAGCAGGAGTCAGTTGAAACCCTTTTTGTCAAACTTTCAGGTCTCGTAAAGATTGTACCCGGCATACTTTGCTGTGAACCCTATCTTGTTTATTTGGATAGTTTTAACCTATAGCTTGAAAAAATTATATTTTATATTTATTTATTTTTTTGGTTGAGTGTGTGTTTGAGAATGAATGTGTCCCTGCTGCTCCTGTGTGTGGCTGTTCTGCTGCAGGAGGGGAGAGCGAAGCCCGACCCACAGCAGGGCTGTGTGGACCCTGAAGTAGTGAGGGTGGCTGAAGAAGCCCTGGATCTGATCAACCGGGACAGGACCGGCGGATACATCCTGAGCCTGAACAGGCTGTACGACGTCTCCCACACAGCACAGCAGGTTAGGGTCAACCGTTTCACACACACACACACACTCTGTACTTCTATTAAACCGAGGACTTTGTATTGACGTCCATTCATTTTTGCAACAGCATTTATGCCTTGGCAATTTCCCTAACCAAATTCTAATACTCACCATATCTCTAAATCTAACTAGTGGAGTTCAGCAGAAATGCAAAAAAGTGAGGACTGGAAAAATCTCACTTCCCCAAAATGTCCTCAATTTGTTGGGTAAAAACACTTGGTCCTCACTCTGTAGTAAAAACAAGTATACACACACACACACACACGTGCAAAAACAAAAGTCAGAAACTGTGTGGGTCTGAAATGTCCAGTTTGATGTTTTGAGTCACTGTTTTGGATTTTAGGAGCCAACACAAAAAGCTGAAGGAACACATGTATTTAGCAGCTCTGACACCAATTTGTCATAATTGTTTGTAAAAGCAGCTAAACTCTCTAGATAGATAGATAGATAGATAGATAGATAGATAGATAGATAATATCAAAACTAAAAGTAGTAAAAGGTTAGCTAAAAGATGACGTTAAAAAAGATGTTGCCAAAAGCTGAAAGTAGCAAACTAGCTAAGTATAGCAGAACAATACCTAAAAGTTGACAGTAGCAAAGGACTAGTTACTAGCTAAGTATAGCTTAGCAGTAGCTAAAAGCTAAAAGTAGCAAAAGGCTAGTCACTACCCTCTCTAATGCTGCATTCACACCAAACGCGATTTCAGTTTCAAAATCGCATCCAACGCTTCAAGTTGGACGCTTGTGCACTTTGAGGTCAGACGCAGGACAGCTCTTGAAGCGCTGCACGGCAACAGCCTCCCCGCCCCTCCCTCCTCTGTCGGGCTCTGTTTAATGTCGGACGAGGAAGTGGCTTTGCTTTATTTACAGAGAGCAAGAGCATGTCACGTTCATCAGATAATTAATTCATAATTAATTCACCAGATAATTCAGAGACATTCAGAGTTTCATCACCCAGGAGCTGCAGGAGAGGCTCACAGCTCGCTTTCAGGACTATTTTTGTCCCGAGTCCAGTCTGATGAGCCGCTGCCACGCATTGGTGCGGATATCTCCTGTCAGGACACCGACTGCAGGCACTCTATTTCAGCTAAAGAGCTCCTCTCCATCTGTTTCAGGTTAGTGGACATCATTCAGTAAACTGTCCCGTCGGGAAATATGTCGCTACGTCACACAGTGGAGTCTCTCTGATTGGTTGACGCGGCGCGTCGAGCTGCAAAAGTTCAGATTTTCTAACTTCAGCGATTTGCGCCTCAGCTCGTCGAACGCTCAGATCGTTCAAATCGTTCAAATCGCGCTTGAGGYGCYGCAGCACTTCCCGACGCTGATTGAAGCGCGTCCACCATAGACTTTGTATGTAAACCTGATGCTCCTGATGCTGAAATCGCGTTTGGTGTGAACGCAGCATAAGTCTAGCAGAGCAGTACCTAAAAGCTAAAAGTAGCAAAAGGTTAGTTACTAGCTAAGTATAGCTTAGCAGTGCCTGAAAGCTAAAAGTTGTAAAAGGCTAGTTAAAAGATAAAGTAAAAAAAAACTGGTTGCCAAAGCTAAACATAGCAAAATGCTAGCTAAAAACTGCAAAAGATTAGCTTGACACTCGAGAGGAGCCAAAAGAAAATCAAGAAGTTGTAAAAGTTTAACTAAAAGACAAAGTAAAAAAAATGGTTGCTAAAAGTAACAAAAGAATAACTGAAAGTAACAAAACACTAGCTAAAATTATTTAAGTAATTTCTAAGACAAAAACAAACAAACTGCTTTGGATGAAACTAAATGAGGGTAATATACTTCTTTAAATGACACCTTCTGCATTTTGTCCAGGAAAATGGCGGGTCAGTCTATAAACTGATTATTGATGTCTTGGAGACCAAATGTCACGTCATCAGCAGGAAACCATGGAAACAATGTGACATCAGAGGAATCTCAGCTGTTCCTGTGAGTACAAAGCAGTTTGTTTCACTTAAATTCTCCTTTAAAGTCTGATTTATTTATATTGTGGATTCAAAGCATTAGCAACATCCACAGAATGCTTCATAACTCCAGACTAAATATTCATTCCTACATACTAAACCACACACAGATCAGGGTTTCCACCTAAAAACTAATAAATAAAATAATTTCTTAAGGATCTATGATTTGGACAGTTTGGTTAATGTTTGTGTCTTTCAGGTGTATGGAGAGTGTGAAGTCACTGTTCTTGTTCAAACTCAAACTGAAGTGAAAAGTTACTCGTGTTCAATGAGGGAAGGTACGTCGAGTTATTTGTTCTAATTTAAGGCGTGGTGACTCTGATTCCAAAATACTTCAGTTTTTGTTGGTATTTAATACGCAATTCTGCAACTTGAAAAGTATAAAACAATAAGAATACTACAAAAATTACATCGGGGACGTCGAGCCCTGCTTGCATTCACTACATACACATAACACGACACGGGCCAGGTTATGGGGAACATATATGAACAATAGAGCTAATCAAGCCTATTGTTAAGCGATGGCCCTCTTTTGCATGTGATTGACCTCTTTGTCCACCATGTGGAGGCAGTGCTCTTAGTTCACCTGAAACTCATCAGACTGAAGAAGTCTCTTGGACGAGAGACGAAATCTTTCATTAAAGAAGAACCCATCCAGAGGACCTACTTATTTTTTCTTTTTGACTACAAAAATTACTTTAAACCTCATTTATAGAGTTATTTGACTTTGGCAAGTCTGTGAGAGAATGTCCAATAACTTTGAAGTTGAGCTAAGGAAAGGCTAAAGCCACTGAGATGTGTTTAAAGAATATGATATAATAATAAATCAGATACAATATAACACTGTTTGCCTGCGAGTATTAGTCTCTCCTGCTTTCTTTTGCATTTTCTCAATTTAATTTTTTGACTGTTTAGTTCCAGCGACATCGATTGTGGACATTTGCCCAGACTGTCCAACAGCTGAAAACCTGAACGAACCCGTCATCAAAGAGACGGCCAGTCTGTCCCTGAAGAGGTTTAATGAAGAGAGTYGCCTGGAGAACTACTTCATTCTGGACAATATTACAAAAGCCAGCTCACAGGTAAAAGAAACAATGGACAACTGAGGAAACTACCCAGTTAGAGTAAAGATTAAATTAACTCTGATTTAGCCAAGATTAGTGTCAATATTCCTTTAAAAATTAAAGTTTTGTTCCAATGTGGACTCTTTGTGAAGCTTGATCTTTAATAATTCTGTTTGGTTTCAGTGGGTGTTTGGTCCATCCTACTTTGTGGGTTTCACCATTGTGGAGACGGTTTGTTCAAAGAAAACAGAAATCAGTGAAGTCAGCCACTGTCCACCCATGGACTGTCAGTTCGCTGTGAGTAACTCAGACTGTTTGTGTGATTGTTTGACCAAACTGACTAGACTCAGACAGAAAGCTTCAAACATCCCATGAAGGGGGGGGGGCAAAAAGTGATCCTGATGTTTTTGTCGGGATCCTGAGAAACTTTTCCAGGAGCCTGAAAAACATTTGCAGGATCGTGAGAAACTTTGACAGGACCCTGATCAACCTTTTCAAGATTGTGAGAAACATTTTTGGGATCCTAAGAAAATTTTGTGGGATTCTTAGAAACTTTTGCAGGATCCTGAGAAACCTTTGTGGGATCCTGAGAAACCTTTGTGGGATCCTGAGAAACTTTTGCAGGATCCTGAGAAAATTTTGCGGGATCCTTAGAAACTTTTGCAGGATCCTTAGAAAATTTTGCAGGATCCTGAGAAAATGTTGTAGGATCCTGAGAAACCTTTGCGGGATCCTGAGAAAATTTTGCAGGATCCTGAGAAACTTTTGCGGGATCCTGAGAAACCTTTGCAGGATGCTGAGAATTTTGTGGGATTCTTAGAAAATTGTGCGGGATCGTGAGAAAATTTTGCGGGATCGTGAGAAAATTTTGCTGGATCCTGAGAAAATTTTGCTGGATCCTGAAAAAACATTTGCAGCATCCTGAGACACTTTGACCGGAACTGAGGAAATTTTGCAGCAACTTGAGAACCTTTTGAGTGAGTTTCATATTTTTAGTTGTAGTCTTTCTGGGTTTCAGCACAGAGGATTCTGTTTGGGCTCCCATGTGACGATCGAGGAGCCGTTTGAAGTCAGGAACCCTGTTGGTAAAAAGGCCGGCTCTTTTMAGAATCACAACCCTGTAGAGGTGAAGTGTGAGATCTATGAACCTCAGGTAGGTCGTCTAAATCTCGTAGTATTAAATCTGTAAGACGTCTTGGATTGGAAAACATATTGTCTCTTTTCTCTGCAGRCTGCAGCTGAGGAGGAGCGGGCCCACCAGACAGCAGACAGAGGTCACGCAGAGCACCAGCACTCCAACCACACACACCTGCACGCACACGAACATGTGCACACGGTCGCACCAACCTCAGGCTCCTCCCCCTCTCAACCACGAGGCCTTCTGGGTASAGTTGTGTTCCAGCATTCCTCCCCCAGATCGGCCCCATCAGCCGCCTCCTGCCCCGGTCCTCGAACGCACCGTCTAGGTTTAGAACCACTCAAGCTCTGATCGGTTTATTCTTTGAAATTGTTTTCATGCATGTTGCTGAACAAAATGGAAGAGATAAAACTATGTCCTTGTTAATCACAGGACATCATTGGTTTTATTAAAGCATTTATCTCATCTGGAAATTACAAAAATTCTTCTAAAAAGATGTTTTATTTATCWAAATGTTTTATTGTTGGTGTAAACCCAAATTTAATCTCTAACTCAATTATTTAAGCAATAACTAAACAATTCACATTTATTTTAACAAAACACAAAATATTCACCAACTTCTCTGAGCTAATAAAATAATTCCTGTGTAAAATAAAAGGTGAATATATATAGATCTTAAAATTGGATATTGTTTTTTCTTGTGTCATGCAATTCAAAGTGTGGCCACATGGCGTCACTGTTTCCTGTTTTCAACAAATACACATTTAACACATAACTGCACAAAATCATCCATAAAACTTAGTTTTAAACTAGCACCAGTTCAAAATCATCTGTTTATCAAACTGTAACCGACTGTTAATATATAKAAATAATTCTTATTACTAATCAAAGGATTATAAAGCAATAAATTAAAAAATAACTAAAAGTAAGCAATACCTTAACAGAAAATGACCAGAAAAATAGTGTTAAATTAAACTAAACTGATTTGAATGAAAATAAAGCAATTTATACATTTTCTTTTCTCAAAATGTGTAAATCACTGTTTGCTCAGTTCTGTTTAGTAAAATCACTTGATTATTTTTATTTTAGTTTTTATAGAGAGCATAAACGATTTTTT